TTGTACATCAAGCAAGTGACGTTGTCTTTTGTGATCTGTATCTGAAAAAAAAATGTTTAAATACTAAGTCATTCTCCAGAAAATAGTAATAGAAACTATCAATATACTCGTAGTGGACAGACTATTGGAATGAATCACATATGCTTATCACATGTGTACAGAACTTGGACATTTGCCATGAAATAAAAAAAGAGTTAAGTCTTTTAAATTTTCTTGGCAGCTGTTATTGCTAAACTCAGTCCTTTTCTTACATGCAATCATTTTTCAGTTTGCCAGACAGTTTTATATAGCTCAGTGGTTTCGAGATACATCAACAGAAGTGGAAAAAACGATAAAAGCTCAAGAAACAATGGAAGACACCACAGAGGTTCTTCAATCAATGGAAAAACGGAAACTGTTCTTAATAGATATGATTAAAATCAATAGTAGACCTTTTGCATCAATTAGGTAATTTATCTTTACACGTTTATTTTAGTTTGATTTCTTAGGTAATTTGTGCTTTGCAAAATTTTTTGGGCCAGTCAAATTGACTGATTGTGAAATTTATGATTGAAATAATAAAGTTTCTTTCCTTTCTTTGTAGGCAATCAAATAACAAACTGACATATGAAAATGCCAGTTTGGTTGCGAGGTATTTAACTGCGAATAGACCCTTTTCTCAGAGTTTTGATATTTATCTTAGCCAGGTGAGTAAATAAATATACTACGGGTAATTGACCTTGATTTTTAATTTCAACATTAGTATAAGAACAATTAGAAAATTTAAATGTAAAAGTATTTTTACAATTTTTTTTTTAAATGTACATTATTTTACCTCTTTACCTTGATTTGTTAATTTTGTAATGACATCTTTAATTCTCTAATTTTAGTGAATATTTTTGGTAAAAAGTGATATTTCTAACTTCTTGTTTAAAATCGCAAGTTCGTTTGTTTTGATATTATACATATAGGTACTACAGGAAGATCTCTCTCAAATTTGTGCTTTTCGTGGTAATATCTTCAATTCTCTATTTGAAATGTGAATTGCTAACAGCGGAGCTATCTCAGTCGAAAGGCTGCTTATTATTTGGTTATTTCAAGAAATCTGAAAAATACAACATCATGAAAATCACGGCCTAGTATAAAACCTGTATCGATCACTTTTGTGAAATCCGATCTTTGTGACGTCCCTAAATTACCAAATTGTAAGCATTTTCAGCATAGTAATGAAAATGTGATGGTCACGGTTTCCACACTTTGCAAACCATTGTTAAAATCTGTTTGTATTTGAACATCTGTATTATTATAGAATTTGTGTTCTATTACAGATTCTTAGAGTACTTAGTGAACAAGCTGTAGCTGTTCGAACAAAAGCTGTGAGATGCCTAACGCAAGTAGTTGAAGCTGATCCCAGTATGCTTGCCAGGGTGAGTACTTTTGATTGTTCATCTAAAAGTAAACGATTGTAGTTTTCTCACAAAACAGACACTTGTAATTCAAAGTGCAACTTCATAGTTCAGTTATTAATGAACTTGGAAATATGATTTTTGATTTCTATGAGGATAAAGCCCATAATACTAGTGTCTATGTGTTGTATTCTTAGCCTGACATGGAGCGAGGAGTTCATGGTAGATTTATGGATCATTCAACAAGTGTTAGGGAAGCTGCTGTTGAGTTGGTTGGCAAGTTTGTTTTGATGAGACCTGAGCTGATACCCCAGTATTACAACATGTTGTTAGAAAGGATTCTGGTAAGTATACATGGATGTATGTCTGTCTGTCTGCACAGATAGATCGTCACTAATGTGATTAAATTCACTTGGCACATGGTTTTACTTCATACATTATTGTTAAAATTGAAGGCATCTTCCATGCTTCTTAGATTCTGTGATGCCTTGTCATCTTGTTTCAAACATGGAATGTGGGGTTTTTTTCCTGTTAAAACGTGCACTATATGCAATGAAAGAAAATAACCCAAAGTGACAACAGTAAAAGAATTCTGCATCATGAACAATTCCCAGGCACAATTGTATATTTTCATCAGGAAAAAAAATGGATAAATAAGGTTAATCTGTCATCGTCAGTTTTCTGATTATATGATTATTACTATCTGCTTGTAGGATACTGGTATCAGTGTTCGTAAGCGTGTCATTAAAATACTCAGGGACATTTGTATAGAACATCCAGACTTCCCCAAGGTGCCTGAAATGTGTGTCAGGATGATAAGGAGGGTCAATGATGAAGAAGGTATTAAGGTAAGGACTTGACAAAATTTATGATACTTTTCAGAATTAATTTTGACTGAATAGTCAAATTTATTGGAATCTAATTTTTTGTTCGAAACGAGAACTTATGGATTAACCATTGTATGTCTGCTTGTTCAAAGTTTTGTTCATCTTTGCACACCTGTATCTTGGACATGCCTGAGCCAATCACATTTAAACATATAATTTATATCATACATTTTGGGAGACGTACAGGTATGCATGTCCATTCGTTGTGCGGTCTGATTCAAGATTGGCAAATGGTGGCCATTTTTATGATTAAAATTTATAATTCACATCATATTATACTCACTAACATGTATTTATTTCAGTGCTGTTTACTATTGAAACACAGGGACTTGTCATGTCATGACATGTTTTGTTTTATTTAATTGGGTGAAACCATAGATATTAGAAAACTGTGGTTTGTTTTATAAGGTGTATGTTCGAGCTATACACAAAAAATGCATAAAATTCCATTCGTTGATATGATTGTTGTAATAGCATTTTAGCAATT